ATAAATACTATTTGAATTAACATGGGCTGCTGTGCAAATATTTTTTAAGTATTGAGTTTATTATTTTTCAAAGTTACTAATTTTGTATTATTTTAGAAATTCTTGTATTCATTTTTGTGTGCGTATTCAACTTGAATATTGTAAAAATAGTCCATTAGCGCAAGCGGATGGACTAATTTATATTTAATATTCGAAAATAAATATGTTATGATAGTGGTCACTGATATGCAGTTTGGGGTGCAACCTATATCACTTGCTGCTTCAATCTGATCGGTAAATAATAAGTAAAGGAAGAGGGGCAAGACTGAAGATCTTATTTTGTTGGTTCACAAACCCTCTGTTCATATACACGCTTAAGAAGAGTAAGCGTATTAGCTGTTCAATTGCAGTCAATTTTAATTCCTACCAACAGGAATATGGGGCAAAAGGCCACTTATTATCAGACACCCGATTGTAGTACTTCAAATCCTCTGATGAGCCAGTACGAAGTTACCAGCTTCTCAGGTGAAACTTCTGCCACAGGACCTCAGTTCGTGGTAATAACAAACTTGTGACTTAATTGGTGCCTGTTTTGAGCTCTACTAGCAATTCTGACTTTATTCTCATATCATTTCGAATGTTCCGCTCGCCAATTAGTGGTTGCATCTGCCCCGCCAATCGATAGCGATGACTTTAACCGCTAGCTTTTTCCTATTCTCCTTCATATGTTAACCTATTGGATGTTAGAAGTCTAACTGCTTCTTTAAAGCGATCTCTACACATTTACAACAGAATTTACATATCGATGGAGATGATGGCTTACTGCAGCCCCTGTAGACCTAGGATTTCAGACCGGTGCAAACTACAAGAGACATCAAGAGATGTAAAGTGACACAAGTCGACAAAGAATTAACGAAAAGCAATAAAGACGCTTCTTTGACTGGAGTATTCACTTAAAGTATTTGCAATTAACCCGACAAAAGTCGGCGTGTGCTGTTGTCTAGGATTGAGAAACCTCACAAGAATACCCAAATGGAAAGAGAAATAAAAAGCCTTCTTGAGATCAAAGGATGCTGCATCGGTAACAATGTTACCACCAATTACGTTAGCCTAATCTTCCTGTGCCACTGGAGGCTGGTAAAGCAATAATGGTCTATACTCAAAACTGTGCTTTTCATCTGCACAAATTTCACCTTTTCTAATCTTTTGAGGATCCTCCCTAGGGGTTTAATAAAAGCACCTGTTGGACTGACAGGAAGATCATTCTAGACGGAATTTCTAAGTCTGGTTTTGACGACCGGATCGATGATATCATCCTTCCTAGATGCTTCTACCAACCCGGTAATATCCTGGACACAACTGACAACGTTCCATTCATAGTCTTGGTAATGATGATAATATATGCTCCCAAGTAACTTGAAGTCTTCTCGATTCCTTCATTTTCAAAAAAGAACTGCTGGAGGTGAGACCATCCCGTTTCGCTTTATTAAATAAAAGTATTCAGGCCGCAGTATTTGATCTGCTTGGGAAGCAAGCAAAATTCCATGATGGCATAAACTGTTGATCGACGAGCAGTTGGATACTACTCACATCAACCAGAAGTACTTGCCGATCATACTGAAGCAACCTTGTTGTGCTATGAGCAAACACAAAAATGAGTTCGGGATATCTAATAAATATATAGATCCACGAAGGTTAAAGTTTTATTAATCCAACAAGTGTAATGACGCGTCGAGGTCAAAAGTCGTCGGAGTCGGAGTCAGTAAGTTATCGTCGGGCGCACCAATTTGTTGTTGGACATATTTTGACTGAACTAGCATACACGTATATCTTAGTACTTCTTCGCGTTTATATTTGTGCCCTAACGTTGTGATTACTCGACATGCACAACGTAATTCAAAAGGCACTTGCGAAGGAATACGATAGTGTATTATTGCAGCAATCAAATTCAAAAATCGAGCGAGTACAAAAAGTATCAATTGTTAACATGCAAGATTTAGAGTAATAAACAAATCAAAGTACAATTACACAATGAAAGTATAGTACTATGATGAGTAATAACATGGGTCACTACAATAGCCCCTCCGTAGAATGCAGGTAAATGAAGTTTACCTGTATTCGGAATGATATTGTAAATTACAATGACACAAAAAAAATATATGAGTTTTTGTTATAAAAACCGAATTGAGGATTTTAAGTTTTTGAGGTTTGATAATATAACTGTATATATGCAAAAATGTTAACAACTTCGAAACGAACCAAAATGTTTAGAAAGTTGTGCAAAATGTAACAATAAAACCAGAAAAATTATTAGAATAATGATGAGGTTGTTATTGTAAGGAGTTATAGAATAGATTTATATCTTAACATACAGTTAATAGTACAGTAATAAGATAGTATGGAAATGACTTGGGTAAAAATTCAGTTACCTCTGTTTCCATGAAAGCTGGTTGTACAAGTGGAATTGTACAAGAAAAGATGGCTGTGCCAGAGAAGAGTGCAGCAGTAGCTGCTGCTGCTGATACGGTTGAAAGTGAACGTCCGTCAGCATGTTGTTGTTGTTGCTGGGGTGTTGTTACTCGGCGTTGAGCAGTAAATTGAATTGATGTTTGCTGAGGTTGGAGAGTAGAAGTTGGTTGATTGATAGCCATTGCAACAAGAGCAGTTGGCATAAACTGTGGTAAACCAGTGGTTTGAATCAATTGACCGTTAGGACCAACAGTCATGACTTTCAATGGAGCTCCTGGTGCCAGAGTGATAAACTGGGGAGTAGCATAGGAGCATGAAGCTACAGTACCCGGTTGACCACTGACAGAGACGTCAGTTGCCATCATTGTTGGTTGTTGCTGATGTTGTTGGATATAAGTTTGCTGTTGTGCTGGTTGTAACTGATGAGCTTGTGCTTGAATCTGTTGTTGTTGTTGAGGTGATTGGGTAAACTGTTGTAATTGAACAGCTGTAGGACCGGCTTGAGTAAATGGAGTTGCAGACCATTGTAAGAGTGTTTGCACACCTGTAGACAATGCTGAAGCTTGAGGACAGAGAACTGGAATTGAGGTGTTGCATAACAGCCAGCTGCTACAGCTGCTTGAGTATCAGGGTGAACTGGGATAGCAGCCGCTGTGCCGCCAGGTCCGGAGGTACTTTTAGCAGAAATATCAGTAATTATACATGCAAATGTTATGAAGTTATAAAAGTTAATGCGATGGCAAAGATGATTTATTCCACTGTGTATACTTCGAAATGATGTAGTCCATCAATCAGCTACGTCGGGCTCGCCAATTTGTTGTTGGACATATTTTGACTGAACTAGCATACACGTATATCTTAGTACTTCTTCGCGTTTATATTTGTGCCCTAACGTTGTGATTACTCGACATGCACAACGTAATTCAAAAGGCACTTGCGAAGGAATACGATAGTGTATTATTGCAGCAATCAAATTCAAAAATCGAGCGAGTACAAAAAGTATCAATTGTTAACATGCAAGATTTAGAGTAATAAACAAATCAAAGTACAATTACACAATGAAAGTATAGTACTATGATGAGTAATAACATGGGTCACTACAACCTAAACAGTGGTAATTGTGGTGGTACATATAAATCACCTGATTACCATTCGGGTAGTTTGGATTGATTCGCCTATCTAAAATGAGTTGCACCGCTTAACTGCTCGGCTGAGAAGGGACGAAGCCGCTGCCACATCGAACTGGTTCGAAAGAACAGTAATAGTAGTATAAACCAAACAGATTATTCCCTGATAGAATAAAGCAATTATTTAGACTTGTGATTTATAGTATGGAACATTTCTGTGTGGTCGATATTTGTTTCTTTTTCTTTTCACCTTTCAGACTCCAAGTGAGACGTAGAGCTTCAAGCTTTGAGCCTTGGGGTTTCGATAGAGGCTGGGGATTTTAGCTTTCTTTGTCTTCTCCTATTTGTCGTATGGGTAGTAGAATTTCTCAGATATCGGGGACATGTGATGAATCATTCCTATTACATGTATTTGCAGTTGATTCGATAAACAAAGCTTCTGTTATCAATCTCTCCCTATACCCTGTGACATTAGATTTTAAAACTGTCATCCTATCCCATCCTTTAAAGGATCCTGTAGAGCCTTTAAGACAAAACAATTTAGTTTATCTAATACCCTGCTGGAATGATTGTCAGGTCAAATACATAGGTCAAACTAGTAGAACAGAGGCAGTCAGACTAGCTGAGCATAAAAACCTAGCAAAATCTAGATTGGTTGACCCGAATAAGATAAGAAATCTAGAGAATAGTTCAGCTATAGCTGTCACTGCATGCAGTTACACACAACCATACAATAGGATGGGATGGGATAGGATGACAGTTTTAAAATCTAATGTCATAGGGTGGAGGAAGAGATTGATAACAGAAGCTTTGTTTATCGAATCAACTGAGAGCGAATACATGTAATAGGAATGATTCATCACCTGTCCACCAAGGTTTCTGGAAAATTCTACTCCCCCTACGACGACAAATAGGAGAGAACAAAGAAAACTATAAAACTCAAGTGTCAAAGTCGTGTGATTACAATTGATGAGATGATTATGAACAATAAATTTTGTTCGAAACTTTGTCATCCAGTAAATAATACTGTTTCGCTCACTGTGTAATATATCTAATAAACAAACTTATATGGAACAACTTTCTATGTGCTTACTACAGGCTAGCGAATTAGGCAAGGTTTAAGGGTGCGTCGTCGGGAAATTCACCTGGGACCTTCCGAGTACCTCGTAGGTACACCAACTCTGAACCACTGACACGCACACACTTTTCGCCTCCTGAATGATAATAACCTTATTGGAAAGGTGTGTAAGTAACTGAAACTTTACAAAAAACGAAAGAAATACAGAATTATAAATAAATTCATTTATATTTGTACGAAAATAGACTGAACGTTTGGTAAAACAAACTTTTTCCATGTATACATTTGATTTAAATGTAAACAAAGTGACATGAATAATCATAATAATAGTTACAAAACTGAGTACTGTTTCATCCTTCATTATCACTACAATTATGCACCTTAGTGCTGGCTACAATTTGCATTATATTATTACTATTATTGATATGTGTAGAATTCTTATCCAAATAACTAAAGGCTTCATTGTCTGTAGGAACCACGTTGGCTCTCTGACATGTCAATTTCTTGTTTATACAATTCTCAGATCCAGTATTTTTGTAATTATTATTATTATTATCACAATTCTTATTAATATTGTTATTGATAAATTGATTACAGTATAGTAAGTGATGATGGCATGGGAATTTAAAATATTCATACGAATTATTATTATTATTATTATTAATATCAGATTCACTGCAACAAACTTGACTTTTATTGAACATAGAATTCAATCGGAGTTCATTTAAACAAACAGCATTATTATTGTTATCAATATCGTTTTCATGCTCATAATGAAATACTAAAGAATTTCTGTACTGAAGTATTCTCTTACTGTTAATGCCTTTTTGATTATTGTGTATAAATTTTGCTGAACAACGAGGAATTGTAGTGCAAAATTCTCCTCCAATTTTAGGATGAAATATGCCAGTTTGATCTATTTCACTACTATTATTTATAACAGTAGTAGTATCAGCGCTAACATCTGATATTCTACTTTTAAAATGTGGACAAGTCAAGTAACTGGATTCAGATGGAATGCTCATATGAATTAACCGACCTTGACAAGTTTCTGTATCCCAGAAAAGAAAAGAAAAAGGGAAAATTCAAAGTGAAAATTACCAGTAATAGTGAAATACATACTTTTTCAACAGAACGTTTAATTACATTGTAAATTATTTAAATTAATTCAAGCGTGTTAAGAAAATCAAAACAGGATTTTTCTGAACGTTTCGCTGTGTAAGCCGCAGCTTCTTCAGCAGATTTATTCGGATTTTTATTAATCATCAAAATATATAGTCAGTTTATTTGAATGTCATTTGTCCATGGACATTTTTACCAATAGAAATGTGTAGGTTTTGATGTGGTTTCTTTGTTTACTAGTATTTCTATTTGTGATTCACTCGATATTATGAAATATGAACTTGAAAACAATCAAGAAGTATTAACTAGGTCTTTATATTTTTGATTACAGCTTCATGCCACACCGTATTTTCAGTACAAGTATAGCATTTTCAACATGGATATCGGTAGCCCAAATTTTGCAGGCCGACCATAGATATCGGGCGTGCGTCGGCAGGGGATCGAACCCCGGACCATGTGCATGGTTGGCGAGAGTCCTAACCACTGTGTATCAATAGATGAAGTTATAAAATGCTTAAAACTTTGTTTGGAATCTACATATTTGACCTTTAAAGACAAACTATACTGTCAAACAAATGGTGTTGCAATGGGTTCACCAGCATCTCCAATTGTAGCAAACCTGTATAAGAAAGCCCTAGAAAAGAAGGCATTGACAAGTTTTGGTTGTCATCCTAGAATATGGTACAGATATGTAGATGACACATTTCTTTCTAACAGAAATTAACTTAATCTCAGAATATATTGAGTTTACTAATGAAATAGAATCGGCTGAAGGAACTCTAAACTTTCTTGATTGTCTTGTAAAAAGACAAACTGACGAGAAACTGAAGTTTACCATATACAGAATGCCAACACCTTTCCAATCAGATCATCCAACAGGAATGAAAGTTTCAGTAGCTTTAAATCTCGTTAACATAGCTAGAAACATTATAACAGATAATGATGGTGATATGGAGAACGAGATATCCAATATAAAACAGATTTTGATTGGAAATGGTTATCCTGAAAAGCTACTAGATAATATTATCAATAGAAAGGAGCATAAAGGAAAAAAATTGAAAAATCCTGGCTATCGACGATAGCCAATCCATATCGAAAGGACACAGCTGAACAACTTCAAAGACTGTTTGCCTCATATAATATTAAAGTCTATGTCAAACCTTCTAATTCTCTGGAAGAAAGCGTTGGTGTATGGTTTATAGGGGAGATCAGTAGACAGGTGAAGGTCAGAGTGAATGAACATAGACTATGCACGAAACGTCCACCTAGAAATGAAGTAGAACTAAAACGTCTAGAAAAAAGATCCGCTATAGCAATGCATGCTATAGACAGCGGACATAAGATTGATTTCGACAATGTCGAAATTCTTGGAAGAGGATTTCATTCACATAAACAAAGGTTGACCTCTGAAGCCTTGCAGATTTTAACCACATCGAATGCAGTGAATAGGAAAGAAGGGATAGACTTATCAGCCATATGGCAAACTCTTATGAAGCAAGACAGATGAAAAAACAACAAAAACTCTATGAGCCTCCATGACTTTTTAAAACATGTAGGATCATGTTTATCACATGTGAATTGACGTCCTTCCATATGACAAATAACATACACACACACACTCATACAAAACTAATCCTTACAAATCAACTATAGAAAAATATACACAATAACAATTTGACATTACGATAGAGAAAGAAAGACCAGATTTGCAGTATAAAATGATATCATTCTATTTCACAGGTTCTCATCAGCTGCAAACTACCTGAAATTACAATGGTTATAAATAATAACATTTCACACTTCATTGTTTGAAAGGTAATACAGAAAGCATTATAAGATAAAGGCATCCGGAATAAAAGGATTAAAATTTTTTGTTGTTTAAGTTACCATCAATTTATATACTATCAAACTATGGAAAAAAGAAAGAAAAAGGGGGGGGGTGAGAGAAGACAGAAAACAGAAAAATCTAATAAACAGTGTCAACATGGCAACTCAACAAGGCCAAAGTTCATCAATTTGAAAACTTGCTTAGTGTATGTTTAAACATACAAAGGACAGCGAATCTACTACGATTTGCTGAAGCAATTGCAATCAAACGCTTCAGACCAAACTTATGCACACAGAAAGAGAGTGTAGTCAATCTCTCACTCCCTTGGTAACCATATCACTTTCATTACAGTGATTACTCATAGACACTAGTGAGTTCAACTCACTAAGCAAGTTTTCAAATTGATGAACTTTGACCTTGTTGAGTTGCCATGTTGACACTGTTTATTAGATTTTTCTGTTTTCTGTCTTCTCTCACCCCCCCTTTTTCTTTCTTTTTGCCATAGATTGATAGTATATAAATTGATGGTAACTTAAGCTACAAAAATATTAATCCTTATATTCCGGATGCGTTTATCTTATAATGCTTTCTGTATTACCTTTCAAACAATGAAGTGTGAAATGTTATTAATTATAACCATTGTAATTTCAGGTAGTTTGCAGCTGATGAGAACCTGTGAAATAGAATGATATCATTTTATACTGCAAATCTGGTCTTTCTTTCTCTATCGAAATTTATTAAGGGAACCAAATGTATGAAATTTGACCTTATTCATTACAAATATATGATGACTGCTTACATATTTCTGTTGGTAAAAATGTCCATGGACAAAGGACCTTCAAATAAACTGACGTCAATTTTTGTAAAAAAAATTTTTTTTACTATATATTCTGATGATTAATAAAAATCCGAATAAATCTGTGAAGAAGCTGCGGCTTACACAGCGAAACGTTCAGAAAAATCCTGTTTTGATTTTCTTAACACGCTGGGATTAATTTATAATAATAATTTATAATGAATCAATCTGACTCGACGCTCAAATTATTCCAGGAAGTTCGTAACACCCACGGCCTGGAAACCTATAGTTTAATTACATTCTTTCAAACTAATTGACTGCTGAATAACAGTCGGTAAGGTAAATATCTAATCTATTTTCACCTTCATCTAACCTAATACAGGTGGAATTATCTATTGGGAGGCTTTCATTATTCTGAAATTAGTGTGGAAGTATACACAACTCAGTAACAAAAGGAATAAGACCCGAATAATTGACACTATTGTCAAGTCAGTCAGTGCTTCTGTATAGTTCACAGATTTGGAGCATCACGCATCACGAAAAGCGTTTCCAATAGATAGCTATCTTTGTCCGATACTGAAGAGTGGATACCTGCCCAGAAGGGATAAACAACTGCCAACAACTGATAAGAGTCTAAAAGTCTGTTGCACAATAAATATGCAGAAAGAAATGGAGATGCATCAGACATACACTCTAAGGAGACTAATGAGTGACATCATACACTAGATCTTTCAGTGGAACCTGAGTGTGAAGCAACGAGTTCGCAGTTCGAGAGTGACATGTAAAATACATGAAGAGGAAATCAAAACCTGTGAGCAATAGTGAAGTCAACTAAGAAACTTCAACGCACAAATATATTAATAATATTAATTTTTGCTTTATTCCTGGAGAAAAGGTTACCTCGTGAAACTACCAAAGAAGGGTGACTTAGGACTCTGCAATAATTGGCGAGGAATCATGCTCCTGTCGACGCCAAGCAAAATCCTGAGTCGCATCATCCTGGAGAGAATAAACCACGCACTGGATACAGAACTCCGACCAGAACAAGCTGGATTCAAGGAAGGCAAATCATGTTCTGACCAAATTCCAACTCTACGCATCATCATCACAGAACAAAGCATGGAATGGCAATCAAACCTCTACCTCAACTTCACAGACTTTGAGAAGGCCTTCGACAGCGTTGACCGCGAAGTAATTTGGAAACTACTTGAGTACTACGGCGTACCCCAAATATTCATCAACCTTATTCAACAGCTGTTCGACAACGGCACATGTCAAGTGATCCACAACGGAAAACTCAGCGAGGCGTTTCGAGTAAACACAGGAGTCAGACAAGGGTGCTTATTATCACCAATGATATTCCTAATTGTGGTGGACTGGAATATGCGTTGTCAGACAGTGGGAAACGAGAAGACAGGGATATCCTGGACCGACATGAAGAACCTAGAAGACCTGGATTTCGCGCGTGGATGACTTATGTTTCATGTCACACAAAATCGAAGACTTACAAGCGAAAACCGACCGACAAAATGGTCGAAGAAGCAGCCAGAGAAGGCAGGACTCCAGGTGAACATAGACAAGACGGAGGTTATGTAAATGACCAACCAACAACAACAACAGCAAAATCCAGCACCAATCACCATCAACGGGAGGGATTTGAAAGAGGTTACTTCATTCACTTATCTAGGAAGCAGTGTCTCAACTACACGAGGAACGGACGAGGATGTACAATCGAGAATCGGGAAGGCGAGAAACACATTCATCAACCTGAAACCAATCTGGAAATCTTCGTCACTCAACTCAGCATCAACAACAAAATGATTCGGATTTTCAATACAAACGTCAAGTCAGTCAGTCAGTCAGTTCTTCTATACGGATGGATCAGAAAGTTGGCCAGTGTGTCACAAAGAATATTTCCAACAGCCTGTTGCAGACCTTTATCAACAACAACTGTCTTCGCTGGCTCTATACTGAAGATCAATGAGATGGCCGGAAAGAACAAGAACCAACAAGAAACTATGGGAACAAACAAAACAAGAAGCAATCGCTGAACAAATATGCAGGAGAAAGAAGTGGAGATGGATTGGACACTCGCTGAGGAGGCGGCTGGGTGACATTGCGCGTCAGGGGAGTGCTCGAGTGGAACCAGAAAGGGAAGCGGCGAGTGGGACGTCAGTGCAAGGGTGACATGGAGGAGATCGTGTGAAGAGGAGTTGAAAAAGAATGGACTAACATGGAGACTTACAGGAGAAGACAGAAGGAAGTGGAGACGTGCAGTT